TGTAAAATATGTTTTGGTTCGTCAAATAGAAAATCAAAATATTAAAGCCAGTTTTGTATCCGAAACCACGAGTGAATGATCAATTTTTAATTCTGTATCTGACCCTGCAGTAAAATAGATTTAAGTATAACTGATAATCTTTTTAATTAGAAATCGGAAACAACGAATTAAGTCGTTTTGAATAACAGAATAGCTATATAGAACCTTGCACTATCAGGTGGGACGATTGATCTTTCATCTCACAATACGAGGTCCTACATTAGGCTTTATTATAATTACAGAAAAAAATTTTATATTTTCGCTGTGGAATCATTCCAGTTTTCTGTAATTAAATTCCATTATGTAGCGACGAGAATGGCTGTTTTAAACTATCTTCATAAGCAAAATATGACCTTCGTAAATCTGATGCACTTATGAAGTGCAAAGTACTTTTTTCATTGATAATTATAGATTTTCCCTCCGGACGATAGGTTTTATTAACAACAATTACATGTAAACTATATGAGTGAACTCATCGATATTTTCAAAACACTAATGGTTAGTAACTCATAGTGAAAACTTTTGCTTCTATCTCGTACTACTTTCATGCACAATAGATAAAAATTTATGATACTTTTTCCTGGTCACATACATCGGAACTTTTAAATGCTATATTTTAAAGATTCTATTTGCTTAAATGAATTTACAAAAATGAGCACAGTATTGCACACAATTATACATATATATTTCTGCAACTTATCTGATGATCTATGTAGTTTATGTGTTACCTGAAAGTATTGAAATTGTTCAATATCATCATAAAAATATGTATATAATTTGACCAATAATAATTTTTTTAATTCTTTAATGTGATTATTCGATGTGGTTCCATTGGTACAAAAGTGTTTTATTTTATGTACAGCATGATAAGCAAGTCCAATTGATGGATAACTCTTTCCGGACATCATGACAGTTCCCCAGTAAAAGGGTTTTAATACAGAATGTAATGAAGATATAAAATCCCAGTCTTCATTATTTAATTCAATCATAGTTAATTTTTCAATTTGAACTCGACGTAAATTTAATGTTCGTTTTTCATTAAACAGTTTCATCATTACTGGTTTAAGATCAATTAAAGCATCAAGTAAGATAAATGTTGAATTCCATCTGGACTTGCAGTCGTTGTTTAATGTCCTATTAACTTTAAATAGTAATTGATTTGTACGAATAAAATTTGAAACAATTGACGACTTTTTTGAAAGAGTTGCTAGAACACGACATTTTTTTAATAAATCCATTATTAATTCAACTTCATTTGTTGTAGGAACATTGGTGTCGATGTTAGATGACCAGTTATCATCAATTAAATCTAAATTTTGTTCATCATCAATTGATTCAGCATTTACAATTGTAGCACTTTCAGCTTCAGATCCTTGAGCTGTATCAAAATTATTAATTATATCTGTATAATGTCCACCAGCATCACCAATCGTTTCATCAATTAATATTTCACCTATAAATATTCAAAAGAAAGAAAAGTCAATGCCCTATTATACTATGCTTTCTTTCTCGTTTCTCTATTTGTTTGTTAAAATTACTACAAAAACATGACATTCATGAATGAAAATTTCGATTTTTCTAGTAGACAAAATAAAAATAAATTAAATCTAAATAAATATTAGTTTCGAGGAAAATACAAAAACACAGACTTTGTTTTAGAATGTTGATAGTTCCGAGTTATCGTTGAGAAAAAAAAAGTCAGATATTCTGGACTACCATAGAAAATATATATTAAATGATTAACATTTCATAAGAAGCTGATTTAAACGGAAGTTCGATCAAAAGTTCTGTATATCATTACTTCTCCTAAATTTAGTCGAAGAGTCCTTTAAAGAATGAAATTTTCATCGATAATATTTTATATTAAAATGTTAGTCATTTAACCATTTACCCCCCACAGCGGTTTCAGAAGAGCCACCAATAAAATAATTATACGAATATTGTAACTTCTCATGAGCTGAAGTTTATAATACATACATTACCATTTCTCTTAATTGCCCTGAACATACCTCATAAAGGTTCCTTGGTCAGTTACGTGCGTTCGTGTGTGCCATTGGCCAACTTATCACGATGCATTCGAAACATGTCTAACTTACTAGTACATACCTTCACCAATTTATATCACATAGGAATTCTGAAAGATCTTTATTTACTGTAAGTAGAGAACAATTTGTTTCGAAAAATTCAATTTTTTTTTCATTTTTTTCAAAACTATCGATTTTGTTGGTCCAATATTTCAAAGATGGACCGATGAAAAATATTATTCTTTTTACCAATCAATAGCTCATAAAGTTCACTACAAAAAAATGTTCTTATCGTTTTCAAATCCTATGCTTCCTTTATTTTCTGCAATCACTCTACAAAATGGCAATTCCAATTGCCAATGGAAGGTAAAGGGTTAATATATATTTTCTATGGTAGTCCAGAATATCTGACTTTTTTTCTCAACGATAACTTCGAACTATTAACATTCTAAAACAAGGTCTGTGTTTTTGTATTTTCCTCGAAACTAATATTTATTTAGATTTAATTTATTTTTATTTTGTCTACTAGAAAATCGAAGTTTTCATTCATGAGTGTCATGTTTTTATAGTAATTTTAACAAACAAATAGAGAAACGGAAAAAAAAGCATAGCAAGGGACATAACGAACGAATAATGAGTCCATTGTTTTAAAGAGAAAAAAAAATGTGAAGAGAAATTTTTATGAAACTATTAGCAAGTCCTCAAATTTAATGTTAAACGAAAGTATCCAATGAAATAAAATATATACCTGTTTCATTTTCATCTGAACAACTTGTATCCATTAATTCTTGTTGGTTATTCGAAATAATATTAGAAGATGAAGTAGCTGTTGCTGTAATTTCTGTTGTTAAACAATTGGTTGGATTATTATCAAGTTTGTTCTCTGTATTCCAAAAACCTAAACTATTAATTATCACAAGGTGTAAACGATGTGTACAGCACCAAATTCTTTTAATTGAGCCATCAAGTTGACTACAGGCTGACACCAAATTTTCACCACCATCACATGTAATAGCAACTACTTTATGGTAAATACCTAAACTTTCCAATTTTTCTTTAACTGAACGTGAAATATTAAATCCTGTGTGTCTTTCGTCAAAAGAAGAAAAATGAATAACTTTAGAAAAATATACACATTTATCATCGAACCAATGACCTGTTATACATAAAAATGAAACACATCGACGGCTTGTCCAAAAGTCAAACGTCAAACCAATATAATCAATATTTTGTAATTGTTCTTTTAAAGCTGTTAAATGAAAATTATATAAATCTTTCAAATGGTTGGAAACTTGATTCCGGTGTGGAGGTAAGTAACCTAGAAAGTAGATCATAAATAATAAAGATGTCGATAAAAAATAACAATAAATTGTCGTCTGATTATCATACTATTGAATTTGTGATAAATCCTAGCACATCGTTTATTAAATTAAAAAAATTGTTAGAACAGTCTCCACGCTATTAAAATGTGAAGCACTAAGTAGCCGCTAGAAATTTTCGCAGAATATCACGAAATTTTAAATGAGTCTCTTGTCCTGCTATTTTTCAGAAGAGGATAAGATATAGTCTTCGTGTCTTGCAAACTTTCTCACAACATGTTCCTTTTGCAAAAGCTTTTCAATTTACTGTAAAAGCATAATATAATTGTGGACAACTCAAAAGTTACGATCTCTTTCAATAAACCGATGACATATATGACTACATAGTGTTATTTGGTCGAAATATATGGTTTCGTAAACAAAGATTAGAGTTATCATCTGGAAAAAAGTTATTTCAAATTGCTTAAACACGACCTACTGTTACGGTTGTGCTATTAGTCTTCAGTGAACATTTTCATCTTACATTATTTTAGAAAATTTTTAAAGTTTTTTTTTTTCCACAAAAGTTGCATGTCTTTTGCACCCATGATTATTGTACAAGACTTCTCGTATTAATTGAATAATATTCACCATACTTGCTAATTATGATTGTAGTTTTGTCACACAAGACATAATTTTAACAATTGTCCTGCTGAGTCTCTTTTTATGAAGCGTTCTTTTTCAAGTTATTCTGTAACATATTAATTGATTAGTCCTATCTTGCATAAAGTTTTTACAGTTTTCTTTAAGATCTTCACTATATATTTCAAAGTCCAATAGATAATATGTGACCAAGAGAAAATCGCTAGAATGCATTCGACAAAGTTTGAGTAAATATGAATGCAACTGATGAATGATGTCAAACAAAAAGTTAGTGGTGTGTGCAGAAATTTCAGTATAGAAAAGTATAAGAAAATGGTTGATACTATTTCGAAAGCATTAACAAGATTTGTCAGAAAACAAGAACAATATATTAATGAATTTGATTGTAAATTTTTATACAAAGATTTAGGATGACACAATTATAAGTCATCAGATCTTCTACCGAATGTTTTTTCTTTAAAATTTTTCTGGAAAAATGTAAGACGACAAATTCAAGACTAATAAAACAGCTATACCATCGAACTACATTTTTTTTCAAAACAACTCTTTTTTTTAAATGATAGTCCTAATTTTCTTCTACAAAATTATATATTACGATCACATAACTATATAAGTCTGTGACAGACATCGTCAATCTACTGTAAAATGTCGACAGTGTGAAATCATGGTTTAGAACGAAAGAAGATATGTTTCAACGCCAATCTAGGCGGTATTAACTCTGTGGCTTTTAGTCATACAAAAGCATTGAACTGAAGTATTCCTAATGCTCTGCAATACAGAGTAGAACAGAATTTTTTAATGCGTCATTTTTTTTCTCAGCAAGGATTGGGTAAAGTACTTTATAAATATCTTTGATCAATGCTTCTTCTAATCAGAGAAAGCTTGGTTTATTTTACTAGTTTCCTAAGGCATCCTTTGTCGTGTTTCATCTAATTTTACAGAAATATGATAAGTAATTAATTCATTTATTATAGGAAGATACTGTTGATATATTGTCTTCGGTTGTATATTAACAAAGCCTCCTTAAAATGCATGAACTCATTATTACATTTCCACAGGAGTAATTCAAAACATGATGAAAAATTGAGTCCTGAAAAAAAACTAAAATCATTTCTCTATGAATAGCCAGTGCAGCTAAATCATTCTTCAAATTAAAATTGCGCGATGAAGCTGCTAGCAGGTATTTTTTTTAGTGTAAAATTATAAAAAGACTGAAGAGCACAATTTCACATATTTTGGTCTCAATGGTGATAATGATTTAATTCAGTGTTCAACCAAAATATGAATACTGCGCGTATTCCTATTGAAATATGTTTTTCAAAAACCTCATCCGAATACAGTTAATAATCTAAAAATCTATAAATGCTGAGCGTGTTTGAATATGTTGAACTCCATTAACGAGGGAACTATCCTAAGTGTTAATCACCGATCGGGTTCATATTTTGTCCATAAGTAGAACTCGATGAGACTAGAAGAACTCTAAAAGGGTTCTTCCCCATACGTTGTCTTTCTTGAATTATGACCGTTTTACTGAATTTTCGGCCTATGGCAAGGCATATATAAAAACATGGAATTACAGAATTTTGACCTGAAATTTTGCCCATAGATAGATC